AGTCAAACTGATAACACAGAATGACGACAAGTATGTACGTAAAGAGGCACTTCTGTTTGCCTAGGATAGGAATACAATTCTGAGTTAATTTTTGTATATTGCGTAAGATAACGGTCCGGCTTCATTCCTTTGTATATGGAGATGCAGTTTTCCCAACACATTTGTTGCAGAGACTGTCCTTTCCCCCTTGAGTGGTCTGGCATCCTACTCAAAAATCACTTGACCACATAAGCAAGGGTTTATTTCTGGGCTTTCTAGTCTATTGCACTAATCTGTCTGTCTTTATGCCAGCACCATACAAGTGTGATTACTGTAGCTTTGTAATGTTTTGAAATCAGGAAAATGTCCCCAACATTTTTCTTCTTTTTCAGGGTCCATGTCTTATTTTTCATGCATGCTATGGTGCAAAAAAAAGTTGGGGGGGGGTTGGGAATGACTGAGCCCTATAGAAGAATACCTTCAAACTTTTTGCTTACCAAAGAGTTTTTGCTAGTATATATCCTTTGCGTAAATATGTAATTTCTGATAGACTGTAAACATGGGCATTTTAACATAAATTTATATCATCCTTTTAAATGTATTCAGTGGATTCTAAATACTGTAGGGAAATGATACCCACCAACATCCATTAAAAAATATAATGATCTACTCTAAGAGTAATTTTATAAGTTCTTCTTTCCCCTTGGGTTCTGTTTTGCACTTCATTTTCTCCACAGAATGCTATTCTAATATAATCTATTATTTATTTACTTATTTATTTACTGCCCAACTCAATTATAAGTATCAGAAAGCTCTGGTCTAGAAATCCAGTCTCAATGGAAATTATGCCACTGTGGGTTAAGTGGGGAACCATACTACCATCCATTTCTGAAATTTCAAAGTATGAGACAAATTTTAATATCTGCTTAGTAGGTTTTAAATCTTAATCTTGTATAAACAATTATGATTTATTATCACTAATGTAAACACTGGGAAACAGTAGGCTTCAAGATCTCTTTTAAAGCAACAGAAGACAGCCTCATTTCATAACTGAAGATCAAAGGTAACAAAGTCGTGCTGTTAGTCTCCGCCAACTCAAATACAGAAGAGAGTGGCACTGAGTTCTAGGTGCCCAGGTACCAGCCATCACTATGTCTATGGCAGCTGCCACATTTAAATAAAAGAATTACTAAACCAACTGATAAGCCTTCAAAATGATCACTTACCTAATACAAACAATTCATGACAAGTAATTAAGGTTTCTCTCTCTCTTTTTTTTTCCTTTGGTTTTACATATCCCCTAGACATATCCTATATAAGCTAGAAAAAGAAAATGATCTCATGATTTCTGCTTCCCAATAAAGTAATCACTTGTAACACTAATAAAGTGAAGAAAAGCAAAGTGAAACACCACCAGCGATTTACGGTAGGTCCATTTACCCCGCTAAATGAACTTCACTTTTACTCTATAAATTTCCCCCCCACAAAAGTTTAGGTTTTTTTTTTTTTTTAATTAAGAGCTCGTTACAAAACGTGATGTTTTATAAAGGAGGGCGTGGTGTGATTACTGAAATTCCAAGTACACTATCTACAGAAGGGCAAGCTATTTTCCTGATTTTTATTTGTAAATTAACGTACCATTTTAACTGTAAAATACAGGCCTGGCAAAGGGACTCACTGGTTGAGAGGTTCTTTCTTCATTTACTTTCTACCTAAATTGATGGTAGCCACAATAATACCAACAAACATCAACCTAAGAATTTGATTTAAAAGGGTAATAAATTAAATATCTGCAAACTCATAGGCATATTGCAAATTAACCTAGATGTGTGGGGTATGATTATATCCTCAATTGCCTGGATTGAGTTCAGAGCCAAAGGCTACCCCTTCGTTGTGTGATCTTGAACAACTATTGATTCTATATGGGCATAAATTTTAGCACCTGTAACTGTGCAATACAATATGGTAGCCACTAGCCACATCTGGCTATTTAAATTAAGTAAAATAAAATTCAGCTCCTCAGTGGCACTTGCCATGTTTCAAGGGCTCAACAGCCCGATGTGGCTAGAGACTACCATGCTGGACAGTGTAGACACAGCGACGAAAATAAACAAGATGATGTGACTGAGAGCAACAAATGAGATCAAAGGGGCAGGAGTGACTACTTTAGATTACATGATCTAAAAGGCCTCCCTGAGATGTTGACATCTGAGCTGAGACTCGCATGACAAGATGCAGCTGGCATGCACAGACCTGCACAGAGCATCCGAGGCAGAGAGGAGGGCAAGGGCAAAGGCCTCTGATGCAAATAAGCTTGGCTGGTTTAACAAGGCAAAGTGGGTTTCAAGCATAAAAAATAAGGGAGAGGAGCAGCATGAAGTGGAAGAAGTGGCAGAAGGCAGGGCCTCAAGGGTCTTATAAGCCATGCAAGAATTTTGGATTTTCTATTTAAGTGCAATCGAAAGCATAGAGACTTATAAAGAGGGGAATGTTACCATCTAAACTATGTCTTTAAGAGTGCACTCTGACTGCTTTTGGGAAGTAGTTACAAGAAACCAAGAGTGGAGGCAGGAAGATTTGTTAGAAGTCAGGTGCCACTGCCCAGGTGAGAGTAGATAGTGGGCTGGATGGACTAGGGAAATGAGATACAGAATATGTGCTCTTTTTTGCTACATTCTGTCTACAGTCCTGCATCTACTATCCTTCATAACCTGGCTCCATGAAATAGTCAACTTCATTTTTTAACTCCTCAATATCCTGTAAATATGCTTTCTGCCCCCACCTTTCCACCGAAACTGTCCTCAGCTCCCAGTCACCTCCACCTTCCCAAAACCAACAAGCATTCTTCCATCCTTAGAGGACCTCTGCTGCATTTGCAACTGCTGACCACTCTTGCATTTCATCAAATTCTCTCAAATGCTCTTCTCCCTCAGCTGCTGGAGCATTCTGCTCACCTGGTCCCCCCCCCCCCC